AAACAGGGTACCATATTTCAAAACAACGTTGTTGATGTTTTTAAAAAGCGTTATGAGGTAAAAAGCTAGGTAACGCAACAGTAGATGTACTGGGAAATTAAATTCAAACCTTCTATAGTATCTCTGAATTCCGCGAACATCATTTCCGTGGCCTTATTTCGGTTTCTTTGAAAATAACACCTCTCTATTTGCACAGTGATCACGTGATTACAGGGTACCATTTTTTTGTTGGAATATTTATTTCATATTATTTGAAAAATAAGCTTTCTAAAAATATATAACTTGATGGTATTCAAAGAATATGTTACTTCAGAAATGTGCTATGCAATTGCAATAGCAATAACCTCTACTACATCCTTAATTTAGTTTTTTATGCAATAGACGACCTTCAAACTTAGGATAAAGGAAAGAATGACAAACCAACTGGAAGTTCATCATTATACTGTAGAATACTTTATTTTCGCTTGGAATTTATTTTCTCGATTTTCACTGAAGGAATGATTCAGTGAAAATAAAATCTAGCGAATATATTTTTTTTTTTCCATCAAAAATCAGTGAAAATAAATTCCATACAAAACGCCTAAAAAGCCTTTTCAAAGAAAATTTATTCCAGCGAAAATAAAGTATTCCACATTATTACATATGTACTGCAGTTTATTTTGATTCGTCCCTGAAATCAAAATCGGCATTTCCAGAACCCATATGCAAATGAGGTCTGAGAGCAAACAAAGTAGTCCCTTCAGGAGTACAGTTTTTCAGAATAAACAATATTTAGAAGTACGATATTTTCCTCTTGGGGTACATGAATATACAGTCAAAACTCGTTAATACGAACTCGGTTACAACGAAATACCGGTTACAACGAACGAACACCGAAGTCCCGTTTGAAAATCCTTTATCCCTATGGTAATTGACAACGCTTAGAACGAACTCGTTTATTACGAAAACCCGCTTAGTACGAAAGGATTTTCTCTGAAAAACAATGGTCTGTAACACCTATAGCGAACATTTCATTCGCTCAAACAGCTGCGAAATCCTAAAACGAACCGCCAAATACA